ATTGACATGTATTTGTGTATGGAGGTATGGAAATCATTGTTCCACTAATTCTGATTAGGTTTCAAAAACAAACATATGGTTTATATTTTGAATGAAAGAAATAGAAGGGATTGGTCATGGTTGTTTTTGATATATATGGCAAATTTCTTTTGAATTCAGTTAATTCACAATTGGATCCCGGGGATAATAATCTCACAGAAATGGCAGGTGAAAAAAATGCAGTTTTAGTGTGTTTAGTTTGTTACTAAGCATTGGGAACTTTTTAAAGAGTTTTTTGAACTTTGAAATATATGCATACATATATATATATAATTTTTAAAACTGTCTTATTTTAAAAGCTGTGATAATGGAGCTTTTACTTGCAAGGCAGTTTTGACTGTGTATTTAAATGCAAAATTCTACAAGTATTCTCTCTAACAGTTTTTAAAATTCTTAAAGAGAATGCCAACTAAAACTACTTAGTACTACGAAGACCACTGGAAAAGTCACTTGACATAAAACATACATAAGGAAAAATTCCTGATTCTGTCTCAGCAATCTCAGATAATATGATATAGATCATTCTCCTCTTTGTTCTTAATTCATTGTCCTGCACTTTTGAAGTGTTTCCTCAGCAAGGATCTTTCTAAACTATGGTAATAATATAAATGTGTGTTCCTTCATTTCTAACAGTTAAACTACCTTGCAGTAAATTAGCTATGAACCAATTCCAACACGATGTAGCATTAAAACTCTTCGACATAAAACACTGGAATATTCTTGATAGCAGATGACCTTATGATTTGTGCAGAGCAGGAGAGATTAGGAGTGATGAGGGGTAGATTCATTCATCCATTTTGATGGCACACCTTTCTTGAGGCATATGGCACATTCATACAAATTCAAACCACAGCACAAATGCAAAGAATAATTGCCCATTAAAATGGCCATATATTTTTATGGCTTTGATACAAAATCTGCCCCCTGTTGTTTTTTACATCTGCTACTCTTTCATCCATCCCAAAGCTTTAAAACTTTAATACACAGTGTGTAACCCTTAAGTATTATTTTACCAGGTTATGTTTCTTCTTTTAAGAACTCAAGCTTTATCAATGCTCAGTCTTTGTTTTCCAGTTCTTATGTGGTGTCTAGAAAGTCAACTATCTATCTGTCTTTTTTATTTAGTAAAAGATGAACAAAACCAAAGCTTATATGTTTTGGGAGAAAATAAGATTGTAATAAATTTAATTTGTGAACACAAAGGCGATTGGCATGAAAGTAATCTATATCTCATACCTGTATTTCTTTTCTTTGTGAGATTGTTATTTACCTAAATTTTACCCATATTTTAACAAGTCCTGTTAATCCCAGAAGGCTTTTATCTTTCAGAAATGTAGCATTGTGCTGACCAAATTTAATGCTTAAGATCTGAACTGAAATTTGATGAAGGAAGTACCATGACAGTGTTTCCATGTTTACAAGTATGCAGGACAATATTTTTGGACAATTTTCAGTGTAATAATATAAGTGTTTGTTATTTTTCTTAAGTGTAGAATAAATACATTTAAATAAGAGATTTCACCAAATTAGCATTCCTTTTTTTTTCTTTTTCTTTTTTTTTTTTCCCATTTAGGCTGTAATAAAAGATTATTTGTGTGCTTTTTGGTAATTTTACTAGGCAACAAACAAGTGCTTTTACTCTTTATCACTAGAAAAAGAAAAATTATATTCCCATTGTATTAACTGCTTTTATGTTGTTACAGTTGCAGTGCCATTCACATTTGAATAGTATAATAACCAACTATAGAACTGATAGGGACTAGTAGATGAAAAAGTAAATTGCCTCTTTGGCTTATATTTGATTATATGAAGTCCTTAGAGATGTGGGTTTTGTGTTGTTGTTTTTTTGTTGTTGTTTTGGGTTTTTTTTCTGTTTGTTTCTTTCTTTGTTTAACCTCATATTGTTACCAGTAACGAGCAGTTGGAGAAATTTCCCTTTTCCCTATCTCAGATCAGAATTTCAGTCATCAAATTACTTTGATAAATTTAAGCTGCTTTTATTTAGAAGGGACTCTGATGCTTCCTAGCTGATAGTCAAACACATTTTCTATGCCATTATATTAGCATTTTCAGTGACTGAGTTTCAGTAGTTTGGCACAGAGGCACTAAGGAAGGTTGACCTACAAACTGGAAGTCATTAAATCCTTACCCCTCCTGGCTAGTATATTCATTACTTTGGGGGCTGGTTGATGCCGCTTAATGCTTCCTGATGGGAAAGACCTTCTCGTAAAATTGTTTTTATTAAGTCCATTATTCAGTTGTGTTCCAGTGGTGTTACTTCTGGTTATTTTGGGGTTGAGGATATTAAAAAGTTGGTAGCAAAATAAATTCTGTGGTTATTGCATGCTCCTAACCACCTGATTTCTCAGCTGGGATAAAGCAGCATCATTTTTTTTTTACTGAATTCAAATCTAGGCTGACATGATCTTACCAATTACTATACCTCTGGCAATAATTGCAGTCTTTAATAATATATCTGTAATTAGAAGGCATGTTTTCACATGCTCTATCAGGATGACCCAAATCATTTCATTGCGATGGATGTAATTCTACTTCATATGAGATCGCTTTCTGTAAGACTTTGCAACACCATTCATAGTTCCATATTTCTCAGATTTAGTTTCCATTATGACTTATCTTCTTTGTGACAGAATTGCAGATATTGTTCTAAATTTTAATTGTTGCTTCTGAAAGATTTTCCAGAGTTTTGCTTTACTCTAGATGTGTTATGTTTTGTGATTTTCTTAAGGAGTCAATGCATATGAGATGAGCATAGCATAACTGTGGAACTAATTCAGGCTTTCCATTCTAATTCAACGTAGAAAAAAATCAGATTCCTTAAAAATGGTAGAAATCCCCTTGTCTTAGCATCTCTGGTAAATGTTTGCAAAATTACTGCAGTTTTTGTACGTGTGTGTGTGTGTGTGTGAAATCTATATTAATGGTATAATTAAAAGTAAAGAAGAAATATAAAAACACTAGCCACTGTTACTTTTTTCATTTGAAATGAAGAGACAGGTCCGTTACTTATACACCTCCCACTCTACATAGAGAAATGGATGAACTAATTTCAAACAGTACATTTTACAGAAGCAAAACTGGGATCCTGACTGGTTTTTGTTTTGTTTTGTTTTTCTGAAAGATTAACTACTTACTGCTGAAACATAGCTAAACGTGTTAACTGCTAAGAATTGACTGCTGAAACATATCTTAAGAGTAGAGGTTCTCAGATTATGTTTAAATCCACGGGGTTGTTAAATCCCCATTTTGATTGCTTGAGTTTAGAATTTCTCGAGTTTAGTTTTCCTTTACAGCTGCTTCTGTTACTCTGTAGAAGTGTGTTTTCAGTATGTAAAGAACTATAGAAGCACATGTAAGTGAGGAAGTTATCCAAACTGCTCAAAGCTTATCAGACTTCATTCATTCTTGTTAGTGGCATTTAAGTCAGATCAATTTCTCTTATTCTTGGTGGTTCAAAAATATTCCTAAAACTACATTATTAAAGGTAGCTACAGAATACTAAGCTTCAGGATTATTATTTAAGATACGTACAATTTCAGGCATGATTTCATGGCCAGATTCTTCAGTGAGAGGGACCGGACAGTCCGTATAAGGCGTAGCATTATGGCGATAATGAAGTCACCATTTTTATAGTATTTTCCTTTACATTTCTCTGTTAAGAATTTACAAGTTGAGAATTTTTTGTCTATATTTCAAATTCAAGGTGGTTTTTAAAATTTAACAGATGAAAGACAAATGTGAAATGAAAACATATTTCAGACTTGAAAAACTGTTTTAGTCATCATTTCCTTCATTTGCTTTTATCAGGGTGCTACAAAGCAGTATTAATGTATCTCTTTATTTACATGCTGTAAATAATTTAGTACATTGAAGCACAACAAAAGAAACCTGAGTGCCATCAGAGCTGGATTTAATTTTCTGTGTCTCACTGATGAATTGGTTCCAAAAAGACATGTTTTAACAGTAGCCAGCAATATGTGTCTAAAGAAGAAAAGAATAATGAAGTATTCGTTTAAAAAAAAAAAAAGAAAGAAAGAAAATAAAATAGGAAGTTTCTTTTTTTTTTTTTTTAATTAAAATATTTGTGAAGAGAGGAGTTTTAAAGATATTTTACAGAAAACAAATAAAACTTACCACTGTATTACTATTCTACTTCTGATGAAAATATGTTGTTTTGTGTGAATTGGTAATTATTGTTTACAGCTACTTGCAATGACAATATAAAATTGTCTGAGTCTGTTTCTTCTTTCTATATCTAATTTGTTTCTATTAGGTATTAATATTTTCTGAATTCACATATTTACAAACTATTCTGCTTTTGCCTTTGAAGAAATAGTATGTACCATCATAAACATGATTTACCTCCCAAATTCTGAGGAAGCTCTGGCTTTCTCTTTTTTTCCCCTTGATATACAACTCAGAGCTATTAGTAATCAAATTTTTGAAAATTGAAGCTCGGTTACATTTGTAAAATCATCTAATTATTCAGATCAAAAGGGGATTGTTGGAGGTCACCTGGTCCAGTGTTTCACACTTGCTCAAAGCGGGGTGAACATGGAAGATAGATCCAGAAATTTCTCTAGTGCTATAAATTTGAGCCTGGGCTGAGTGTTTTTGGCTTCAAACAAAACTTTTTAGAAGTGCTGCCTACAACAAACAGCCTTGTTTTTATTAATGAGTCTCTTCAAGGGAAATCAGAGCTACCTGTGTTAATGCCATCTAAATTCCCAGCTTACTGGGAATGCAAAGATTTTGTGTAAGACAATGAGGCTTCTGGTTGAATGACTAACAATTTACTTAACAGTATCCCCCTCATCCAGTTAAAAAACATGCTTTAATATAGGCACAAACATACTGCTACACTGCAAGTCTTTTACCTAGTTTTAAAACACCAGATTCATGTGACTATTTTATATTTCTCTTCTTTTCTGTCTGTGCAGTGCCAGGATTTCCCTACCCTGCTGCAACTGCAGCTGCTGCATACAGAGGTGCCCACCTAAGAGGCCGAGGTCGCACAGTGTACAACACGTTTCGTGCAGCAGCACCCCCCCCTCCGATTCCAGCCTACGGCGGGTAAGGAGATCAGCCTCTTTTACCTAACACTGTGAATTTCCAAAGGCTGCAAACTGTTTGTAACTGTGGTGCATGCTGGTCGTGTCTCACTGCAGAAACCAACACAGCATGCAACCAATCCAAGAATTGGAAGTGGTGCACCTTGCACAGAGTATTGAAAAATGACTGTAATTTGTACTGCCATGGTTGGTGGCCTTAAGCATTTGAGGTGTCACATTTTGTTATGTAAATGCTCTTAGAGACTGAATGCTCTGAACAGAGAAATTGTTTCAGCTAAAGATGTGTTTTTGATGATTGCAAACATCTGGTTATTAAGGAGGTTGGATCAAGTAACTTCTTTTTCTTCAAATCATCCACTGAAAGTTGTCTCTGTACCTAAAGGCTTAGTGTCTTTTTGTTTTGTTTTGTTTTTAAATGGTTGTTTTTTTTTAATTACAATTTTAGTTTTTCTAGTTGATATTTTAGTCAAGATAGAAATTGGACTGCTTCTTAAGGGTCACATGCTTTCTGGTACATATTTCTTTAAATTATGCCTTAACATTTCACTGTTAGTGACCTACCTTTACTAAAAGCAACAATTAAGAAACAAAGGAGAGAAATCCATTGCAATCATTTTTAGAAACTCAACTTTATCTTCTGTTATTCAAAAGTGTAAAAGCATGGTATATTTCTGAGGGAAAGAAGAGAGAAACAAACTGTGGTAGCTCTGTAAATGCTGACAGAACGGTTTTGTATTATGTTGGTAGTCTTTAAAAGCCCTAGAAGTGTCGAAACATTTTCAGCTATTAAGAAATCAGTAAGTTTGGTAAATCAGAAAACATGAAAGATCCCTGGCTAAAATAGTATTTTGTGGTAACAGTTGTAGTAGGTATGTTGGTACTTCTTTGTAGAGCAACTGGATCATTCTGGGAAAGGGAAAGGAAGGTTTGTAAAGTCATGGAGTGAAGATGATTTCTCTCTGCCCTCACCAAAATAATGCCACACAGCTCATCTGCTCTGGCTTTTGATATCCTCCTGTAAGGAATCTTGCAGCACAATACGGTGCTGAGACCCTCTCCTCCTACTTAATTATAGCAGAAGACAGGTGCCCTTCACTAGTCCCCCATCCCCAGACTTCCCTTGAATTCTGCTGAGAAAAGCTGGTTGAAGGTTTTCAAGACTAATTTGGGCTTAATCTTTTCCATATTGTCAAAGCACAATAAAATAATTATGTGGCTCACAGTGCTCCAGATTTAAGGAGATGCCTGAAATATTGACTGAGACATAAGGTCTAGAACTACAATAATAGACCAAAGTAATAAAAATGAGCCACAGGATCTATATCGCAATGCTGTTGTAGTATTGGAACCTGGTAATGTCAATAATGTTTATTCCTGCCATATCAAGGACATACTGGTGTGCTTCCAGTTGCATTACTTTGTTTAGATCTCCTACCAGCCTTTTACAAGTAAGCTGACTAAATCTGTCTCTGGTTGGAAGCAGTTTCTTATGAAGCCTTTATTTGATTAAGGTGGAAGGCATGTCTTTCTTTCTAGGCAGGTTTACAAAAGTAGTCAGTCAGCCACTGAACATAATTTTCCAGCATATCTGGGACACGCTCTCTGACCGTTCATTCACGTTGGGCAGTACCCCTCAGAGAAATAAGCTGTTTGAAAAATAAATATGAAAGCGATGACACAATGCCAGGTTATTATTATTATTATTATTTTTAAGTGAACTACATCTTTTTTTCTTTATAGATAGTATAATAAACTAAGTAATATTATTCAACTTAAGGGAGGAAGACACCATGGTTTTTGAAAAAGATTGTCTGAGTTAACTTTGGGCAAGTATGGCATCTCACCCAAGCACCCTACTGTTGCCTAGACTGTCTGTTTTAGAGGTAGTCCAGGTATTTGGATGTGGCAAAGAGGGGAACAAGTTTAGAATGCCTTACAGGACTTATATCATACCTGGATGTCTAAGTTATGAAATGGGTACTGCAGGTATGAAATAAATACACTTACATGTACTGTGTACTGCAAGCATAGATGCATGTTATATAATTTTGTGTGTGTGTGCTTTTAAGGCTTTACCTGTTTACCAATTTAATTTATAGGCCTTTAGTTTAAGAAGCCACATAAGGGTGGTCTCTGTGTGTTGTGTTTGATATGCCTATATGTTCATAGTTTAGTTAGCACAGTGACTCAGCAAGAAGAATAAGATTTCCAAGTGTAATAAATATAAATCCTCATAAACAGTACTGCTTAATTCCAGCATTTTAGAGATTAAATTTGATGTAAACATCATGAAATCATATTGAAAGTTAATAGGTGCTTCAGCATGAATCTGCAGGATGGTTTGACAGTTAGGTTGGACAGATCTCATGTGCCTTCATGATCTGTCCTTAAAGTGACTTAAGGAGCCACGCATTGAATCAGGAGAGAAGCTAGATCTTTATGTTGGCACAACGGCCTCCAGCTTTCTGAGCTAAGTCATCAGTCATTTAGGATTCTACTCTGCCATCCAATACATTGTCCAATAAATCCAGTATGTATTAGAAACAGTCTGACTGCAAAATTTTTCAACTGATAAGCTAAATAGAATTACAAAAAGTGATTAGGTTGGAAGGCACCTTAAAGATCATCTAGTTCCAACCCCTTGCCATGGGAAGGAATATCACTCATCAGATCAGGCTGCCCAGGGACCCATCCTGCCTAGCTGTGAACACCTCCTGGGACAGGACATACACATTTTTGGGGGGCAGCCTGTGCCAGGTCCTCAACCCCCTCTGACTAAATAATCTCCTCCTGACATCTAAATCTCACATTTTATTTTAAAACTGTCCCCCTTCTTGCTATCTGCGTGTATTAAAAAGTCTCCCTCCTGTTTATAAGCTCTCTTTAAGCAGTAGAAGGCCACAGTGAGGTCTCCCTGGAGCATTCTCCAGGCTGAACCATCCCAGCCCCTTTAGCTTTTCTTTGTAGGAGGGATAGCCCGGCCTGGAGGGTGCTCAGGCACCGGAAGCCACAGCACAGCAGCCTCATGGCCCTTCCAAAAGCCCTCCATGTTGCTCCCTGCTCTGCCAGGCCCACTACAGGCATGCTGGCGCCAGCCCAGCTGCGCAGGGAAAAGTGGTGGCCGCAGCCATCTTGTCCTCATTTAGATAGGTTTGAGTTCAGAGATGAGTCAGGTTTATTTTTCCTTCCACCTATGGTTTAAAATAGCACATTGATTTCTGATACGTAAATTGACATCTTCTGTGATTTGTGGATCAGCACAGACCCTAGTGGTTTCGTTGCACTGGTCTGCAGTTGGGTAGATAATGCTTTATTCTGAAATAATTTCTTTGGCCTAGTGTATCATCTGCTAGTAACTTCCTTGCTACAGCAGTCGCATTCGGAATTTCTTTTCGATGCTTTGTTCTGTGCTCACTCATTATGTATTCTGAGTTATCAAAGAGGCCAAAAGGCAGAAGGAATCCTTGATCAATGAAAACAAACTGTAAGTATGTTGTTTTCATTTTCAATGGAAGTAAGAGTCAGGGACAATTACAGAGAAAATAAAGAGATCATAGAGAATGAACCAAGTTACGAAAGGAAGCAAACAACACAAAACATCATTTGTTGATAAGAAAAATGGAAAACTCCTTGTCTGTTGTTTTGCAATTAATTTAGCAGCAAGCTTTCATTTTTTCACTCAAGGAAGTAGCACAGCTTACAGCCAAGCAATCAGTTTGGTGCAAAAAAATTTTCAATAATTAAAAAAAAAATGTTGCCCCACCCATTTATTTTTTTGAATAATGATATCTAAATTTACAGTAAAACTCCACAACATACAGTTACAAAATACAATTTCCCTTTTAAAAAGTACCTACCTGTAAATGTAAAATGTTAGGCTGATTCAAAAGGATTTTTTTTCATTTTCTTTTATTTCTTTAATCTTTGACAGCTTACATGAAGTGAAATATAATAAGTGATTTGAAATAATCTTTTGCACACTGATTTGTTTATGTTCAAAAGTTTTAGAACTGTAACAATCATTTTCAAATAGGAAATCAATGACAAAGCTAGGAACGTGTATTTTCTTAGCAGTCTTACAAGCTTGATACTAGTGGTTATCTCAGCTGCACAGTCTCAAGATTCCCTACTCTGTAACAAAAACCTACCTTCTTTTCAGTTTCCCTTAGGCTGTATTTATTCTTGTTTACATGTCATGTTTGATACTGTCTGATTTTTTCTTAGGCTCTATATCAGCAAGGTTATAAAACGGCAACCTGTCCTGGTCTGTAAGGAAATACAGGTCTCGTCATTGGGCAGTACAAATTAGTGTGTATTCTTATGGAAAGCTCTTTTCTCAGAGTTACTGAGAAACAGCAAATATGGCACACTTTGCAAAATCTAAGGAAAACAGGTGAATACAGCTGTATTTAGAGTCACTGTTTTTTTATAAATCGAAAAACATCTTAATTGTTTTAATACACGGTCCAGCCTTTTGGCTTGCCTGGGATGCGTTGAATGAGGAGGAACTGTTTTGGGTCTGTTGATGTTTTGGTTATTGCCAAGTGTGTCCGGGGCTGGGCCACAGGCCACTCAGCAGGCAGGAGGTGCCGCCATGATGGCACGAGGCCGGGGGCAGGCTACAGCACGGGCTGTGCTGGGCCACATGCAGCCTGTAGGCCATGGGTTGGTCACTTGAAAATTAAATAAATATGTAGTACGTAATTAATGAATTCTTTAGTTGAGAGTGAGGCATTTCAGTAATTCCTTGAGATAGTCCCGTGTAACTCATTTAAAATACTTCATTTTTATCAACATGGCATCATTTCTAATACCTTAAAATATTACAATATGTAACTTGCTCTTAACCTTTTACGTGTAATCAACTTCTGTACCATAACATCCTACTCAAACAGATAATATGAAGCTTAGTTTTTGTGAGAAAATAGGCCATTTACATTTCTGAAAATCTACGTCAGGTGGAAATCTTAAATTCAAGGCTATGTTGCAGGAGGAAGAGAA